TAATTGTTCTATTGTAATTGAGCCTTGATTGCTGTTGGTATCACTGGGAGGAGCTGACTTCCAGGATAATTGGCTGTGAGGCCCAATTGAGACTACAGTGGGAGAGCTGTTGTACAGGAGACACCCTTGTAGAGCAGGACTTTCTTCAGTGGGACTTTGGTGCTCACTGAGCCTGCCCCTTGAGTGTGTAGCTTATGGATGTGTAGAGTTGTAATCTTGTATGGTCTGACACTAAACTGCTCTTGGGTCTCCAGGGAGGTGTCAAGTCAGCCACTGCCTGGGACCACCCAGCAAAAGCAAAAGAAAAATCTGCAGATTCCTCCTCTTTATATTGGGTTTTAAAGTGCCCAGATGTGAAGTAAGGCAGGATGGTGCTAGTGCTGGGTCTTGGGCCTTTTATTGATAGATTTGGGGCTCCCTGACCCAGCTGCAGCTTGTTTGACAGGTTTTAACCTAAGCAAGGATAGGCCATTCATATGCAAAAGTAACTGCATGAAGCTTGGGTCGAATCATGAATAGGATGAGGTGGGGTCTTAGGGAATCACCTGGGCGGAGCAAACAGAAATGGCTGCCAGTCAGCCCTGCAACTGGGAAGGTCCCAGCTTAGGAACAATGACTGCTGTGAGCACCTCTGTTTGGGAGAAAGCTGCCCCCAGAGTTCCTGCCCTGATGCCAGATAGTCCAGTTTCTCCTCATATGTGTCTGTGTCTCCCAGAGCCTCGCCTGGTACTGGAGCTCAGAGGAAGTGGGAGCTTGTAAGTTGTTTGTGTGTTGGCCTTTTAGAGGAGCAGTCTCTGTGTCACTGAGCCCCAACCCCCACTGGTTTTTACAGAACTGCCCATAAGGACTTCTTTTCCCAGCTCTGGGACCCTGGGCTGGGGGGTCTGGTGTGGGCAGCCTCCACAAAGACAATCTCCCTCCTAATTAAAAAAGCGGCCTCCTACCAGTCTCAGTGTGCTTTCTTCTTTACTTCTCTAGTTGTTTTACTTCTATTCAGCCAGATTTCAAGCGCTTCTGGATGATGGTTGTTGTGTATTTTAGTTGTAATTTTGATGTAGTTGTGGGAGGCAGTGAGTACAGGCATTTACCTACACTGCCATCTTGGTTCCCCATTCTACCATCATCTTTTCTGAAAATTCACAGAGTATAAGTGAATTTCTTACAAAGATATAGACAGTTCAAAGAGTCAGAATAAGGTCCATTCTGAGTATAAACCCCACAAACTGGATTTCTGGGATCGCAGGTCTATAATAATAAAAGCATAAAATGCAAATCAACTGAATGGCCAAACAGCAGAATGACCCTCTGGATGACCATGCTATGACACACACTGGGGCCAGGCCAGCCAAGGCGGGTGCAATGCAACTGGTCAGGGGCCCCACCATTGCTCCATGATCGCCCCAAAGAGGAAGACCCCGGCCATCCTCTGCAGGGCAATTGATTGGGGGGCTCTGCGATCAATCACCCTAAAGAGGTAGGCCCAGGCCACTGATCGGTGGGCTGAAGTGGGTGAGTGGGGCCTCCCTCTGTGGGGCAATCAATCACAGAGCCCTGCCATCGATCACCCCACAGAGGGAGGCCCAGGCTACCTGTCTGGCAGTGCTGCAGCAGGTGGGCAGGGCCTCCCTCTGTGGGACAATTGATTTCAGGGCTCCCAGACTGTGAGAGGGTGCAGGCTGGGCTGAGAGACTCCTCCCGAGTGCACGAATTTCATGCACTGAGCCTCTAGTTTGATTATATTTATGTAACCAATGCTTTTGAAGATACTTATATAAACTTCTTGCCTCTGACATGAAAAGGATTTAATATTTACTAAACATTAAGAGTCCTCCAATGCTTTCCTCCTGCCTATTACAGAATCAGAGATCACTGAGAAGCAAGTGCCAGCTAAAGAGCAAGGTGCTACAACCTCCCTGGGAAACCCTGTTGCTCAGTCTTCAGGCTCTGAACCCCCGACCGTGTACCTGAAAGATGTCGTGTGTTACCTGTCCCTGCTGGAGACAGGGAGACCTCAGGATAAGCTAGAGTGTAAGTACTCACCCTGTCAAGGGCTTTCAACATTTTCCCAGGAGAAGGTCGAGTGTCCTACGCATCATTGTAAACATGCTGGAGATTGTTCTGGGACATGCTGGAGATTGTCCTGCCTCCATAGGGGAGGGTTTACTGCCCTGTCATCAGCAGTGATGTGAACATTTCCTAGAATCCACCCTGGGGTACAGGGCCTGGTATATAGAGAGTGGGAAGTGCATTCGAGACCTTGATATTGAGGACTGGGACTTGGAAAGGAAAGGGATCTCCACAAGGGATCGAGACTCCCCTCCTTTGCTGGCAGGACTTCCCAAGAGCCTCTAACCAGGAAGCTGCTGCCTCCTCTTAGTAGATTTTTCAAGAGAAGATATTCAGTATCTGTCGTCCTTCCCCTATTCTGTGCCCAAGCAACTCTATAACTCTGAGAAATGTTGTTGCTGTTTTCTCTTTGAGATCTAATCAGCTTCCATCTTGTTAAAGCTTGTTTACATTTTCACCCACCCCACCCCAAGTTTTTTGGCCTCTAGAGAAAGAGGTCTAGTTAATTAAGGGAGTTGAGCTGGGTTTCACACTACTACTAAAGTTGGTTTCAAAGATGTTCAGGAGGAAAATAATAGCTGGTGACCGAAAGGAAAGCCCACAGTGGCTGACAGTCTTGCAGGTGACTCACTCCAGGGATGGTCTCACTGGCCTCCAAGAACACACAGGGACACTTTTTAAAACAGGTAGTGATAGGAACTTGTTTTAAAATATATGATATTGTTTTGACTTCTCTTAGGACCTTAACAGACATAAGGGGAAAACATACACATTATAGCAAAAGTAAAAATTCCAGCAATTAGCTCTAGCCAGTGTGGCACCAGCCCATGTACCAAAGGGTCACAGGTTCAATTCCCCATCAGGGCACATACGTAGGTTGCAGTTTTGATCCAGGGTCTGGGCACATACGGGGCAACTGATCAATGTTTCTCTCTCAATGAGTGTTTCTCTCTTGATCTCCCCCTCTATATTCAATGAAAAAGCATATCCTTCAGTGAGGGTTAAAAAAAAATCCAGCAATTAATAAGACTAGTAAACAAACTTAAACATTAGCAAGGAAAAGTCTGACAAAGGTTAACCCTTGCCAAGAACAAAATCAAACAGTTTTTTCGTTAGCTGATCTTAAAATCAACTCCCATAGGTTTGAGGTGTTAACGGTTGCAAGTCTTAAGCGCTAATTTGGAAGCAAATGTAGCAGCTTTCTCTTTCTTCTGGCTAATGTTAAAAGTGAAATGTCAAATTATTTTCACCATTCAGCAGATTTTGAATTTCAGGAATTATATTGGTCATAACTACCAAACAGGATGTGACAGATGCTTCACATTAGTGACTCTCAGACTCAGTCTTGTACTTCCAATAAAAAGAAACTGCATATTTTAAAATTTTTATTAGAGAAGATTAGAGAAACATAGATAAAAGTAGAGAGCACAATGAACTTAAATGTTCCTGTCAACCACCTTCAACAATTACCAGTTTATTGTCAATTAGGGTTTATTTATACCTCCCATTTATTCCCTCTGTCTCAGGTTATTTTGAAACAAATTCCAGACCTCATATAATTTAATCTGTAAATATTTCAGTATGTACCTCTAAAATATGAGTTTTTCTTATATATAACCATAACGTCATTATCACATCTAAAGACAATAATTCTTTACTATTACCAAATATTCAGTCAGTATTCACATTTCCTCAATTATCTTATGGACCTTACCTGAACTGCCATTGATCATTATGTCTCTTCAATCTCTTTTAATCTTTTGCTTATTTTTTTTCCTTTCACTTTTCTGTTGCAGAAACTTGGTTGTTTGTCCTGTAGAGTTTTCTCTTTTTTAAAAAATTAAACCAAATCAATTAAAATTCTCCTGTGGCCCTAGCTGGTTTGGCTCAGTGGACAGTGCATCGGCCTGTGGACTGAAGGGTCCTGGGTTCAATTCTGGTCAAGGGCACATGCTCGGGTTGCAGGCTCAATCCCCAGTGTGGTGTGTGCAGGAGGCAGCCAATCAGGGATTCTCATCATTGATGTTTCTATCTCTCTCTCCCTCTCCCTTCTTCTCTAAAATCAATTAAATTTTTTTAATTCTCCTTTGATTTAAATAATTAAAAACGAGTTAAGCTTTTCTTTTTAACAACCAAACATGTATCCCACCTATCAATAAAAAGTAATACAGTAATACCAATAACTCTCATCACTGAACACTTTTTATTTGCTGAGCACTTTAAGTGCATTATCTCACTTTAACCTCTTATTGGTCCTAGAAGTTCTAGATAATTATTTTCATTTTACACATAAGAAAGCACAGAACGGTTAAATGACTTGTCCAAGGCCAGGCTGCTAAAAGATAGGATGCTTACTCACACTTCCTGCTTCTACTCTTCATGCGCAGTAGGACCAGGAGAGCTCCATGTTAGAGTTGCCCTATCCAGGGTCCAGGAGCATCATAGTGGGAGGTCTGTCCTTCTTTACATCATTCAATCATCTGTCTGGCGAGTCAGCCTCATTGCCAAGTGCCTCTGACCGGGACATTCTAAAGAGTCACAAGGAATCGAAAGCCCATGACCCTCCTTTACACAACTTAAGCTCCAACCAGGGATGAACCACTGAACAAACACAAGCTGCAGAGACATTAAAACACGTGAAAGAGAGAGATGACATGAGGGCAACTTAAGGAATGCTGTAACCCTGTGGGAGATCCAGTGTGTCTGTGGCGGGATGGAGTGGGTGGAGGTCAGGGGTGGCTCACAGAGAAAGCAGGCATGAGGAAGGGTGTTAAAGAATGAGAGGAAGATGAAGACATGTTCAGCTCTGCTCCCTACCCTGCTTACTTCTGAGACCACAGACAGATCTCTATCTTTTAGATGAATAAAATGTAAGCTATCAGGTCCCATAAATGAACATTGAGTCCTTTGCTCCAATTTCTCTCCCAGATCTTCCTCATTCTATGTCACTGCTCTACTACTAGAACATGATAGAGTAAGTTTGTGATGGCATGTTGACATGCTATTCTTCTAGACAAAGAAATACAATAGATTCTATAATAGCAACTGCTTCAAAGCATATGGAAGATTAAATGACCAATAATGATAAAGTGCCTTGTACCTATTAAATGCATATATAAATGTTCCTTAATGGAATGAAATAAAAATAAATAACATCTGTTGAGTGCATTCTACATTCTAAGCATTGTAGAGTTGGCATATAATTTATATATTATTCCCCATTTTTAAAAATTTAGAACAAAAAGACTATTATAATCTCCATTTTACAGATGAAGAAAATGAACCTGAATGACTTGACTCCCTAGAGGTGGTAGGGCAGAGCCAAGATTTGAATCTGCCTAACTCCACGGCCTTCTGCATGCAATATGAGCAATGTTCTAACTATACTTCTGGTACCCCGGCCTCACCACCATCTGGGCATTTGCTCTGAGGTGTGTTCCAGTGATGCTGAAAGGTGTGAATGCCCTACAGGGACTCACACTCGTAACCTGGATCTCGGCTACAGAGCTATTGCTTAGGCAGTTCCAGAAATCAGATGGCTTGGTTCTCCTCCCTCTCCCCTCTTCCCTGTAAGGAAGTCAGATTCTGTGCCTTTGGAGGGTGGGTGAGCTGGCTGCAACAGTCTTTGCCCTAGTGATAGTCAGTACTGATCTAAAAACTAGCAGCAACAGAGCCTGAGCCAGTCCCTGGTGCCTGGAGGATGCCTCAAGCATCATCTCTGTGTTTCTTGCAGTCATGTTTCGTCTCTATGATTCGGATGAGAACGGTCTCCTGGATCAAGCGGTAAGCTCTCAAAATACCCTTCCAAGAAAGGCTGGAGGAGAAGGGAAAAGGTGGAGGAAGAGTTTGAAACTCTTTTATAGGAGTTTCTAATAATAGCCATGTCTCTATATGGGCTGCAGAAATGAGTAGAATCCCCACCTTCTATTTCCAAAGAGCCAGCTAGTAGGAGAGTGAACTTCAACTTGCCTTTTCATTCCAGAAGCCCAGGATTATAAAATCTTAGAATGGGGAGGTGCTTTAGTATCTTATCTAGTTTAATTCACTAATGGGTTCAGAACTTCTCCCTGCAATTTCCTGCAGGAGTCCAGGAACAGAGGGGAGGAGGTAGGAAAGGCAGCAAGACCAGAGCAAGAGGGCAGGGGGAAGCAGGTAACTGCTGGTGCGCTTCTGCATCACCATCACCTTCCTCTCATGAGGCTCTAGGAGTCTCATTCTGTCTGCTCTGAGCACATGATCCTATTTCCTTGTACCGGTGAAAGCCTGAGGTCAGTCTCCCCTCTCTTCCCTACCCAATTCCCTCAGGAATAGACAGGGACAGGTCAGTGATCATGGAATGAGAGGAAGGATAGAAAAGGAAGAAGGCAGAGAGGGGAAATGGCAAATAGAGTCAGGCAGGCTTTGGCTTCATGACTGGCAATGTGAAAGGTGGAACTTCTTCACAGAAAGGCTCTGAGGTTGAGGCGCATAGGGCTGAGTCAGAACAGAGGGAAGAAGAAAGGGAACAAGTTCACTAGACCAACTAAGTCATCCCAATTTCCTCCAGACTCCAGGGTGTCTTTGTGGGAGCCCTACGGCCACATTGCAATGCTGTGGTTTATGTCATGTGAGGGAAAATGCATGTATTAACTATCCACTATGTGCCAGGCACTGTTCTAAATACTGCGTATATATCAGTGAGCCAACTCCAAAAAAAAAAAAAAAACCACACAAACCTATGCCCTAATGAAGCTTTCATTTTAGTGCAAACTCACATAGTAAAATATGTGCTAGGAGAAAAATAAAGAGAAGGAAGTGTTGGAGGGAGCTGCTGTTTTAGCTGGAGGAGCCAACGAAGGTCTCCCTGAGGAGAGGGCATCTGAACAGAAACTTGAAGGAGGTGAGGGACTGTAAGTCCTGGGAACACTTAAGTGCCTTCCAGGAGAGGGAACAGAGAGTGCAAAGGTCCTGAAGGGTGCCTGGAATGTGAGCAAATTAACTAGGAGCCCAGAGTGACTGTAGCAGAATGAATGAACAGGTGAGGTCAGAGTGAGTAAGCAATAGGAGATGAGATCAGAGAAGAAATGGGATAGGGGTAGAGGAAGTTTGCAAAGTATTATGAAGCCTTTTAGATGATTGAAAGGGTTTACTTTTAACTCTGGATAAATGGAGAACCATTGGATATTTCGCACAGAGGAGTGACGTGGTTGACTTGGGTTATAACAGGATCACGTAGCTCCTGTGTTGTCTAGACTATAATGGTGCAAGTGGGGATACCAGGTGGGAGGTTATTGAAATCAGCAAGACAAGAAAGGATGGTAACTGCACCAGGGTAGAAGCATTGTAGGTAGTAAGAAGTGGTGAGATTTCAGATGTATTTGGAGAATAACATCGCATGACTAAAGCAGTCTCAAAAGAGTTACCTGATTCAACTTCCCACTGAGAACCCCTGGCAGCTGGACACTCAGCCTCTCTGTGATCATTCCCAGTACTGGAGAGTTCAACCACTGCCTTAACACAGCCACTCCACCATCAAGGGTGACTCAGCAAGGGCTTCCTTCCTACACAAAAGGCACCTCTGGTCTGCTGGGGAAGCTTTTACCGTGAAACCAGCTTCTGTTTCCCCTCTCCCTTTCCCAACCCAGCAGTGAGGCCAAAATAAGCCAGCCCTCAACAAATCCCTCCTGATACCCATTGGCTTGCTTCTGGCCTCTGTAGCTGACCAGGACAGCTAATCAGTGGATATCGACTCTACACAATCAGCCTTCAAGTATTTGAAGGTACTATCACATCTCCTGTAAAATGTCCCCCAAGCTCAGACTTCCCCATCCTCATATTTACTCAGAGGCAGGCTTAAACATGCACTCTGGTCAAGCTCTGGTTTGTCAATGTCATTTTTAAAACATGACTCGTTAATCATCCACACAGGTGGCCTAACCAGGGTAGACATCAGAACAGCCAGTTCTTCCTGGAAATGCCCACCCATTTACACAGTTCAAGGCTGAGTCTAATTCTCATTCCTGAGTCACATTGTTTACTGGCTAAATTTTAGTCCCAACTACATTCACAAGCTCTTTTCCATGGAAACTTCTGTAGAACCCTGTCCTCACCTTTCTGCCTGCTTCCTCCCCCATCTACCACCTCATCTGCAGTTTTGAAATGAATTATTTTTTTTTAATTTGAATGAAATACAATTTTAAAATTCCTGTTGCTTTTTTGTTTGCTTGTTTTGAGCCAGCATTCTACCTGGTGGAGGTAACACTTGTGAACCTTGTTTCAGTTCACCGATGTGTCTCCCCGCATTGATCTCACCATTAACATCTTAGATTGTGCCCAAGAGATGCAAATGCCTCCTTGGTCTAGCGTATTTCAGTGAGACTCTGGGCACCCTGATTCCTTAGCACACAACAATTATGTGAGGTTTCAGATAGAGCTGGCCTAAGTAGCAAGTGAGAAGCTCACTTACCAGGCCAATGAACCCCTCATGAATTTCCTGTTCACAGGGTCCTGAGTTCAGGGCTGGACATGACACAAAGGAAATGGAGGCGATGCCAAAAGGATCTAAATCATAGTATCTGAACTAGGAACCCACACAGAGGCCCTACATCCACCTGACACTGACCTCTGAGGGGTATAGGTGGATTCCAAGTCAGTAAAGCTGTGGGAATGAGGAGTGACTAAAGAGGGGGGAGAGGCCACTTTGGTTTGTAAGCATGTGAGAGAGTGGAGATCACAAAGAAGGAGAAAACAGGAGTGTTTCCTATGATCTCTAAGTCAAAGCCCAGACCAGGGGAAGGAAGGTGAGTCCAGATGGATCCAAGGAGGTCAGTGTCCAGAGAGCTTTCAGCATACCTCTGGCTTAGCCATCTTCTGTGCTTCTTGTGAGCATCTACTCTCCACTGAGCTTTGTGGTCAAGGCAGAATCAAGAGCAGAAACAAGTAGCGAGCTCCCCGTGAAATGCCAGGATATTACACCAGCTGCTTCCCATGTTCTGCCCTGCCTGTCTTCCCACAGGGTTTGATGTTGAGCCTTGCTCTTAAAAACACATCTTCACTTGGTTTCTCGCCTTGGTGTTTTCTAGGAGATGGATCGTATTGTCAACCAGATGCTGCACATTGCTCAGTATCTTGAGTGGGATCCCACGGAGCTAAGGCCTGTGAGTTTCTGGAAACATGGGGTGACTTCCAAGAGAAAAGGGAGGCACCCTCAGGATAAAAATGAGCAGGATCTCCCAGACTCATTCTGCTACAGGCAGCTTCTCGGTGGTCCTACATCTTGACCTCCCACTTTAATGATAGGGAAAATCTATAGGCAGCAAGGGGAAATTCAAATAATAATTGCCTCGGACCTTTTCCCCAGAGCTAAATTTTTATAACAAGAGCTCATAGATCAAAGAATTTAGAGCTAGAATGAATTTTAAAGATTTTCCTTCATCACCAGGTAATAATTTTTATATAAATGCACATTCTATTTACCTTTTCTCTAGTCCCCACTACAGTGCTGCATACACAGCAATATTATTTCCATTCCACAGATGGGCAAAGTAGGACCCAGAGAGTCGGGTGGCTGGCTTGCCCAAGGCTGCTCAGTCAGGTCAGGCAGAGCGGGCTTGGAGCTCTGGTCTCCTCACCCCCATTTGCTCCCTCACTGTTCTACTCCCTGTGAATCAGAATGGAAGGGGGGAAACCACAAGCCAGACTATGCAGAACAAAAGAGAAATAAGAGGGCAGTGGGGGCAGAGAAGTCAAGGATGAAAGTGGACAATTGCTGCTCTGTGGATTCCGCAGATATTGAAGGAGATGGTGCAAGGGATGGACTACGACCGGGACGGCTTTGTGTCTCTACAGGAATGGGTCCACGGAGGGATGACCACCATCCCATTGCTGGTCCTCCTGGGCATGGACGACTCTGTAAGTCAGCAAACCTGAGTTCAGACCTCTTACCTTTCAGGAACATCAAGCTCTATGTGGACGTTCATATCTACACATCACCTTGGCTTCTGCCCCAATGGACAATGCATACGCTCTAGGCCAGCCTCGAAGACTTCTCTTTTACCTATTAGTAACTGATATATATTCATTCATTTGGCAGCATGTACTAAATTATTAGTAAATAAAGATATTGTTCTGAGTTCTGTGAAGGGACACAGATATTCACCCACCAGAAGGTTATACTCAACCAATCAAAGGGCAAAAAAAATTCAAGGAAGAATTCCATCTTTTCCACGAACTAGGTTGAAAAATGCTATGAGAGTTGGGGAAGGAAGGAAGAGAAGGATAAAGGGAAGGGAAAATTACTGATCTATTGTGAGGCAGAGGGCAATCAAAACAACCAGATAAGGTAGGTATTTCCCCCGCTAATTTATACAAATGGAAAGCTGAAATTCTTAGCCTAAGGAGCAAAGAGAGGCATCAGAATGTATTTGTACTTGGCTCTAAAGATACTTCACTTTCTAAGGACCCACACTTAGGAGTGAGACCTGTGGGAAGAAATATCAGAGGATGTTTGCTCTGGTCTGGAAGGATGTATGGGATTTTGATATCCTGTTGTTGAGATAAAGGTCAAGTGGAAGGACCTAGGAGGATGTTTGATCTGCTTCCCAAGGATGGATATGATTTGGTGGTAGAAGATGCTAGAAGAGACAGTTTGTGGCCAAGAGAATAGCTTGATCAAAGACACAAATGAAAGAAAGTTCAAGATGTTTTAGAAAAACCTCCCAGCAGGATCAGAGTAGGGAATACATGAAGAGGCTTCATGAAAAATTATTGATTATATATACATGACCTAACCTAGTCAGCCACTGCATTTTCTGCTTATTTACCAACTGAAAGTAACTTTCATGCACGAGCTAAAAGTACAAATTGTCCCTTTGAAGCATTTGCCAGGACAGTCACATAGGTTGTGTGATAGCACCTCTTTGACATTCTGAAGTGTCATACAGAGAAACAGAACAGGAAGCTTTTAGGTGGGTGAGCCTCCAAGTGCTATGGTTGCCTGTACTGTCTCTGTCAGACAGTTCTGCAACTCAGGACTGAAGCTGGGCCTTCATTTCCAATATTCAAGAGCTAAGAATCCTGCAGTCATGTCCTGGCATGTGCAGCTCTTCCCAAGGGCTACGCAGAAATTCAGGAACCAGGATCTGCACAACTGCCTATATATTCCTTAGAATCCTAGGCAGTCAGAGCTGGAGAAGACCTTGGTGATCCTTTATCTGTCCCCTTCACTTTGCAAACTGAGGGCCCAAGAACACACAGGTACTACCAGGGGCCATCCTCCATATTCAGGAACAGCAGACCTCTCGTCCAATGACCCCTTACCAAGAACCTATTAAGTGCAAGAACCTATGTGAGCTAGAACTCCGGAGGAGAGGCACTCAGATAAGTAAGATCAACTTCCTGCTATCAATACTCAAGATCATACCTGAGTCAGAATGGAAGTTCTGCTGAGGTGCTGTTCTAACATATCTGTGTGTTTGGTTTATTGGGTGTTAACATTGTTTTTTCGCTAAATATGGAAATAGAGATGGGGCATTTTAATCATAAGAAACCAACATCTCTTTTTGATTTCCTATTTTGGGCTTGCTGACTCCAAAGTGCCACCAACTCTTCACATGAAGGGGACCCACTGTTTTATGGCTAGAGGAGGGAGAGACAGACCATCTTCCCTGCTGTCTCCTCCCAAAGCCAAGTCAGCTTTATAGAAAACCAACTGTATATCAAGAAAGTGGCAAAGAACAAATGTAAATTTAGTCTTTGTTAATCAAGTGTTATGCACTTGTTTTTAAATACACACTATATTGTACCTTTCTACATTTAAAGTTAGGGGTTCAGAGAAAGCATTCATAAGTGTCTTAAAAGTCACAGTGCTTATTTGGTTTTTTCAAAACCTACATGGGGCCCCTGATAAGTCTGGGGATCTCTGAATGCAATATGTGCCAAGCAGTCTGTCTCCCCATGAAATTACAGCAGTGGCAGAAAGCCTGGCATGCAAGAGGAAGGTTACTCCCACATCCTGCAGCTGCCAATGTGCAGAAATGAAAGAGCCACATGATGGCGCTGTAGCCCAAGCTGAAATGTTACTTAATTCTAAGCCACGGTCCCTTTGCTTCTTACTGCAAATCTATGAAAACAGTACCTGATTTTGCTAATAAAGGTATTTCTCAGATAAAAATGACAGTTCTTTGGGTCTGCTGAGCTGTAGTTTCCTTTCATAAAGAAAAACCCTGGTATGTGGAGAAAGGGGGAAAGATGGAAGGAGGACAGGCTCTGATGCCAGTAAGAGCCCCAATTTGACTACTGATTCAGTCACTTATTATTTGTGTCATCTTGAGATATTTATGTAACTTCTCTGAGTCTCCATTTCTTCATTTCCAGAACAGGCATAAATCTACCTCTTTCTTTACACATAAGAAAACACTTTATTTACCTTTGTGTCTCTTACTGTCCAGCACAGAGTAGGATAAGTTTTAATTGTCGGACACTGGATTAGAAGCTCTACTTATAGAAACCATTAGATATAAAGGCTGTAATTCTATAAACTCTGGTCTTGGAAGAAGCAGGGTGTTGAGGTGGTGAGAAGAAATGAGCTGCACTGGCCTGAGGGGGAGACACGCATTTGGAAACCCATACAGGCTCTTCTAGAGACCGTTAGCAGAAGACTTGGCATAGAAAGGGATCTGATTGCCATGACCAGTGCAAACCAGAAGGCCCAAAAGTAAGAGCTGGGTTTGAGTCCGGCATGCTGGATTCTGTGTGCCTGACAGTCAGTTCTCACCGCCTTACTAGGGTGCTTTACTCTACCCTACGCACCAGCCCAAGAGTGATGCTCTTTTGATGGAGCCTCTAAGAAAAGTTCGGGGACAGCAGGTGTGGAGGGATGTCCCTGAAGCCACAGCCTCCAACAAGGCTGTGCTACCAGGGGCTAGAAGGTAGGAGCTTTGGTGTCCAGGGAAGGTGTGTGATTGTGCAATGCTTGGCTTATCTAGCAGGTAGGGATGAATTCGCTTTTGAGCCAAGTCCGACTGTCTCTTGACTATTTTATCTTTGTCTAGAAAGTTGGTGAGTGGGTGCATTGTTTTTACTAAACTACTTTTTTTCTGATTATAAAACTAGTACATGCCAACTATAGAAAGTTTGGAAAATACAAAGGAAAATAAAAATTAGAGAATAAAATGAATTCATGGTGCTTCCAGCTGTAACGAACCTGTTAACAGTTTGGTGACATTTTTCCCCACCAGAGAGATCTTACTATATAAAATTGAGATTATAATAGGTCCTCAAATTTACATTCTGCTTTTCTCACTTAGTGCTGTGTCACGAGCACATTCCCACGCCATTAGACATTCTTTTTAAAAAATATATATTTTTTATTGATTTTTTACAGAGAGGAAGGGAGAGGGATAGAGAGTCAGAAACATCGATGATAGAGAAACATCAATCAGCTGCCTCCTGCACACCCTCTACTGGGGATGTGCCCGCAACCAAGGTACATGCCCTTGACCAGAATCGAACCTGGGACCCTTCAGTCCACAGGTCGACACTCTATCCACTGAGCCAAACCGGCCAGGGCTAGACATTCTTATAAGTATCTTTTTGATGGCCACTTAATCTTTAATCACATGGCTCTACCACAACTAACCTTTTGGTAACTTTGATATCTTTAGGATATTTTCAGTTTTGAATTATTTTAAATAAAAAATGCTGAGTTAAACATCTGACAGAGCACAGAAATGCTCATCTTTCCTTCAAAAATGATGTTTTAGGAATGAATCCAAAAATAAAAATTTGTACTATAGTAAGTCACTGGTTATAAACATTTAAAGGATCACAGATAGATGGGTAGGTAGGTAGGTAGAGAGAGAGAGAGAGAGAGAGAGAGAGAGAGAGATGATAGATAGATAGATAGATAGATAGATAGATAGATAGATAGATAGATAGATAGTTTGTTTGGATTTACACTTCCACCAGCCAATTAGAAGAGGGCTTGTGTTATCCACACACACATACTCCTGCTCAGATAGTCTTAATTTTTAATACTTGCTCATTTTAGAAAACACACATAGACAAGAACTTAGTTTTGATTTCCATTTTTTAATAGTCAGTAAAACAAATGTATATCTTGTCTTCCAAATATGAGAAGAGAGTCTTTTGAGAAGTAAAAAGAAAGAACAGGAGGCAGGCCCAGGCTTCTGCTAGTTTAGGGCTTCCTGCTCCGAGTCCCATTCCTTCTCTATTCCCATAGGGCTCCAAGGGGGATGGCAGGCACGCCTGGACCATGAAGCATTTCAAGAAACCAACCTACTGCAACTTCTGCCACGTCATGCTGATGGGCGTGAGGAAGCAAGGCCTGTGCTGCACATGTGAGTAAACGTCCTTTAGACCCCTTTCCCCAGGAACTGTCTTGCTCTGCACGTGGTTGAGCCATTCCAGAAAAAGTCTATCTATTTTTGCTTCCTAGCTCGAGGGACCTCCCATATTGTTCCACAGCAGGGAATGAAGCAAGACCTCCATGTCCTATTTTTCTTCTACCCAAGTCAAATGGATAAGTAGTGTCCCATTGTTGGAATCCCATCATGGGCCGCAGGTCCCCTTGCCCCCCGAAAAAAGTTATTAAGGCTCACATATAATTAAAAAGCATCTCATACTAATTTCACTTGGGTTTTGCTAGTGAATCTTTTGGGTGGTCAGAAGAACCTGGGTATGTTTTTTTTATTAATAAGCAACATGAAAAAGTATTTGTAAATGCAGTGGAAATGAAAATTATCCATTTGTTTCACTTTATAATCCATTTAGTAAAGTCAAATGGGAGAAGAGAAAAAAAACAGGGAAGGGAAAAAGTAGGAAGGGAGCCTGGGAAGGAGACAGAAGAGAGAGATGGAGGGAAGGAAGACAGAGGGCTGATGTTAGTTAGAAAGGGGGTGACTCAGGGAGCAGGAGATGAAAGGGGCTGCCCTGAGAAGGCTTTGTGGGTCAGAGTATGTGGGTGCAGAGTCCTGTCAATCACCTCACAATGCAGACAGGTCCGAACCCACCAGAGATTAGGGAGCTGCTGCTGCAGGCAGGGCCCTTGGGTGCAATCCACGTCATCGGAGCAGTTCTTCTGAACATGTACACGTGAGCTAGGCAGCAGGTGACCTTGACCACAACAGCCATCTTGACAGAGTTGGGGCCAATGTCCAGGAAGAGCATCAGCAGGTGTAAGAAGGAGTCTGCCAGTGTTTCCAGCACCCATTCAAATCCAGCTCCCACCTGCAGCATCCCCAACACACAATACTGTGGCGCTGGCACAGCGAGGAGGATGACTCCTCCCCCACCCTTAAGTGGAAAGCGCTTTTCCGTGCCATGTTTTCACCCCAAATTCACTGCCCAAGTGTGGCAGGGTGGAGAGTGCAGGAGCATGTCTGGGAGATAACCATGGACTCTCGTCTCAAAGAACAACTGGAGACTGCTTTGAATTTCCATTAGGCAAGGCCAGCTCCGTATGTCCCCTGCCCCTGAATGGTCACCTAGTCAGACTCATCTGGAGTGTGGAGGGCTGGCTGCACCTTTCCTACATGGTCACTCACGAGTACTTTCCTTACTTTTTATTTTCCAGACTGTAAATATACCGTCCACGAACGCTGTGTATCCAAAAACATTCCTGGCTGTGTCAAAACGTACTCAAGAACCAAAAGGGGCAGCGAGGTTGGTGACACTTATTGGCTTGTCCTACTGCATGCCGTGTCCCAGGCTACATGTCCATCGCCAGATTCCTGGGCAGGAAGGGGCTTTGGGAGTTTTATCCAGTCCCTTCTCTGCCCGGAGGACCACCCTTAAACCATCTTGTTCATCCATCAATCCATTCAGCATTTCCCTGGTCCCCACCATGTGCCAGGCACTGTGCTAAGGGGTATGCAGCTTATAAGGTGGCCTTCAGCCTGCTGGAGAACTGTGCCATCTAGTGGGAGAGAGACAGAAGCAGAAGCAAAGCATGAGGTAGTGAGATGAACAGTAGAGATTGTGTGGGACGTACAGTTGAGGTACCAAGGAGGAGGCCAGGGGAGGTTTCACAAAGGAGATGGCATTTGAGTTGTACCTTGAACCTTGAACCCTGTACCTTGTACTTTGACTTCATAAGGCAACAAGGTGGACCAGGCACATGGCTTATTCTGAGGTCTGTACCTGTTTGCCTGGCTGGAACAGAGGATGCTTAAAGGGTAGTGGCAGGAGATCCAGCTGTGCTCTGACAGTGAGATCCAGCCTGGAGAGGTCTGTGAGGCCAGCTGAAGAGTCAGGAAGGAGTTTGTGAGGGGACATTGAAAAGCTTAGAGCATGAGATCATTGGGTTTGCAAATTAGGTTAATTGCTCTGACCATGGTGCAGGAAAGAGATCTGAGGGAGAAAACCTCTTCCAACAGTTCAGGCAAGAGGCAGTGCTGCACAGAGGGCCTGACTGGGGTGGGGTCTGCACTCACCTGCTATGCTGACGCATCCGCAGTAGCACGGTGTTGGCTGTGTCTTGCTGAGAATCTTCGCCAGCCATGCCAGTTGTTGAGTACTTTGACTATCCAACTGGCTCGTGTGAAGAGAAGATGAAGGGAGAGTTTGAGAGATAATTTTGAGGTACTACCACTAGGACTTGGTGATGGAGAGGAGAGAAGAGAAGAGGTCGGGAATGGCTCCCAGGTTTCTAACTTGGCTGTTGTGGTGCCATACATCGACTCTGGAAATGGACTCTTATAATTAGCAGGGAAAGGACACTCTTGGGTTCCTACACGGAAGATTCCAATGAGAAAACTGAGTCAGGAGATACTTAGCAGGTGGGAGTGATATCCAGCCCTCCCCACAGAACTCCAAGAGAGAAGGGCGCCTCCCAGGACACACATGCATGCCCCATGAGACACCGCATGGCCTCTTGTCTACTTCTACGCCACAGGCATGCACACATTTTTCCATATCCATGCTTTCACCAGGATGCATGGTACATCTCCTGGGCTCAGGCCTAAGCCTGCACTCTGGCCACTTGCCACACACAGAGCAGAGAGAGGCCACTGAGGGGTCAGCAGGACATGATCTTCTGAGTCTCCAGGGGCACCCCAAGTCCTTCACCATCTCTTCCAATCCCAGAAGAGGATGGAGAAGGCAACGTGGTGTTGGTAGACAACCATAGATTTGGAGTCAGAAGACCTGGCTATGAGGTTCTGCTTGACCACTTTATCAGCCTTGGAACCTAGGGCCGGTCACTTAACCTCTCTGATGCCTCATTTTATTCTCCATGAAATAGAAATAATAAGAATCTCGGAGCAAATTCAATGTGACCATGTAGATGACAAATTGATTCACTAACTGGATTCTTTATGTCCTCAAATAAAAGTGACATGTCTGCTAGAATAAGAATTTTACCAAAAACTTTTGGAAGGAGAGCTATTAACTTAATTGATAAGTAATTTAAAACTTTTATTTAATACCAACATGGATGGTGTAATGCAAATATTCCATGTGTTTTTAATTCCATATGCTTATAGCTGGCACTTCAGACTAGGTCCCTGTATACCCCCACCTCTCTTCCTTCTGTATCCAAAGTGCCCTTGTGGGAAATTTTGGGAAGTTCTGCAGAATTCCTAGGGGAGACAACCGAGGGCTCAGGTCCCCAGAATTTGGTGTCATGGGTCACTTTGCTCTTACAGACACACATATACATATGCATTCCCATGGCTTTTAGGTTCCTGGGCTGCCCTCGTGCCATTTCCAGGAAGCAAGTACAACCAGCTTTCCAGAAAACATATATGAAAGCCACTGGCTGCTGACCCACACTAAGTTCTTTGGACTTCTCCTCTAACTTCCTTCTAGAGTGTTTCTCAACCTTGGCTGTACATTGTAATCACACAGGGTGCTTTAAAACCTTAACCACACAGGGTACTTTAAAACCTATTAACAGTTCCCATCCTCAGAGACTCAATTTTAGTTGGTCTGCAGTGAGGTCTGGGTATTAGAACTTGTAGGAGCTCTCCAGATGGTTCTGATGGGCTGCTGAGGCTGACAGGAAGTTACCCATCAGTGGTATCTCATTCGATCCTCCTAGAAAACATAGAGGAAGGACTTATTATGACATTTGTACTGACGAGGGACCTGAGACTCAGAGAGGTCCAGGAATTGGACAAAGATCGCCTTACTGCCAAATGGAAAATCAATGATTCCAACCAATTTTGTCTGTGGCCCCAGCCCTCCTGTTTCCCTGCATCACTCTGCCTTCCAAAAGAGGGCGCACATGAGCACCTCACTCTGCAAGAACTTCTGCAAGACAGACAGATGGATTGCCAGACAAGATGCTGCTCAGAGGCTTGACTGCCAGGGTGAATGAGCTATTCAAAACTCAGGAAAAATGGTTTCCAACTGCCTCAATGAACAAAATGGTGGTCAGGCAGGGAGAGAGCGTGTCAGCATAGTGCAGCAAAGCCGCCTGGCACCCAATCAGTGCATAAACTGAACAGGAAACAACCCCTTTGGCCTCACCCCTCTGTGCACCTCCAGACCCTTCTCCTCAGGCCCAGGCCCGGGGAGTGGTTCTGCAGCCTTCCCTGGCATCCTTCCCTTCCCTTCTGCAGGTGATGCAGCACGCGTGGGTGGAAGGGAACTCTTCGGTCAAGTGTGATCGGTGCCACAAAAGTATCAAGTGCTACCAGAGTGTCACCGCGTGGCACTGCGTGTGGTGCCGGAAGACGGTGGGTTGGTGCTCAGGGCAGCCCTGCTTCTTTTCAGTTGTGGTATTTTGCTCAAGCTGCAGCCCAGGAGCAGTGGACATCCTGCCAAAGGGCATAAGCAGAGCCGGGGGGACACCTGGGAGGCCCAGAGCCCCATTCAATGTCCTAAGTCTAGCAGTGCCCAGTGAATCACAAGCTTTCCAGAGAGAAGACAGCCCCCCAGAACCACAGGAGTGAGGGCTGCTTAAGAAGCTGGCCTAACCACTATCTATGTAGCCAGGCAGCTATGACCATTAACTTCCTTCATCCGGGTGTCACCTGGGGCCAGTGGCACCACCAGAGTTGGTGAGGAATTAGACACCAAAATTATGTTCCTCAAGGCAACAGAGGAAGGCACACTCTTTACAGCAGCCCCACTGCCTGGGCCAGAGGCCTGAACCTGCTACCGTTAGCCACAGCCAATGTCCACTTCCTCTCTAGACACCCAGAACCTGCCAAAGGTCACCCTGCTACCACAGCTAACTCAGTGCCATGTCTTGTCCCCTTGACCAAGGCCCTTGATCACCCTCAAAAAGGACGCATCTCCAAAGTAAATCACAGAATTCTTAAGATGCAGAGGTTGTGTCAAAAGGTCTATTTCCAGCCTCTCATGAGTCTGTTCAACAAGATCTCCTTCCTTCCAGTGTCTCAGAGTCTAGGGAGCAAAAATCTGAGGGGGCGGGCTGGAATCCACATGGGGTGCCACAGTGAAGGGCCACAGACAGGCCTGCAGCTATGGATAGCACTTGGTCTCCTCTATCAGCCCACAGAAGATTTGGCAGCCTTGACTACATACCACACACACACACACACACACACACACACGCCATATATGCACACATGCCACATACACACACTCAAAACACACACAACACACCATACACACACACACACACACACACACACACACACACACACACACACTTAGTTATACTGCCAAAGCCAGGAGTGCATCAGGATTTGGAGAGCACTAGATAGTTTGCCTCTCCAGTAAACCTCTAAACCCCATATTAAAATTTCCTTGGTCTGTTTCACTCACTCTCACCTTCATTGTTTCCTCCAGTTTCACCGCAAATGTGAATTATCCACAGTGTGTGATGGTGGGGAACTCAAAGACCACATCCTGCTGCCCACCTCGATCTGCCCCATTACCCAGGTAAGTGCTGCTGCCCACCAGGGCTCTGATTCCCCCCCCACCCTGCACATTTCACATATGCAGCATTCAGTCCTTCACCCCCCTCAGAGGGCTTCCTCAACAACTCTTGGGTTTGTGTTTTCAGTACAAGTTTAAATGAGGTCCATGCTGTGTCCACCAATTTGTGAGGGAAAACTCCCCTGACTAAAGTGGTCCCCACTGCTGGCCCCCAGAATGCTCTGAAGTAGCCCATCCTGGAGAGCACCTGGCAGGCAGAGCACAGCTCAAGGTAGTCACCACCTGCACAGGCCAGGCCTCCCAGGCCACCCTTGTTCCTGTCATCCTCTCTCCTACATCCCAACATCTGCCCTGACGATTTCCACTTGGGTGTCTCAGCCCTACTTGGAAATGGATGCAGCAAAATTAAACTCCCTTTATCCCCATCTGCAATTGTCTCTGTCTCCTGTGTTGAAGATTTCTCTTTCAAACTAAGCACCAAACATCTTAACTGTTCCCTTTCTTCTTAAAGATGTTGCCAAGTCCCACCAATTCCTCACATCTCATCCTTAACCAGTTAGTCTTTCTCTTTAAAAAACTGAAGGAAAACCATTTGGCTGCATTTATCAAGTTGGAAATACAAAACTCTATGACCTGATAAGTCCTGTCCTGCATATTTATCTGAGAAATATGAGCATTTTTTCCACCAAAATACATGCACAAGAATGTTTGTAGCAACTTTATTGACAACAGTGAAAAACTGGAAACAAACTTAATGACAGAATCGATATCTATAAAAGTCTAAGCGACCGTTACGACTGAATGGCCAGAGTGACCAGAACCACCGGTCAACCAGTCTCTATGACATGCACTGACCACCAGGGGGCAGATGCTAAATGCAGGAGTTGCCCCCTGATGGTCAGCGTGCTCCCACAGCCAACCTCCTGCAGCCCCTCCCCACCCACCAGTCAGCCCCAATCACCCCTGGCCGTCCAACCTCCCATGGCCCCTCCCCTAAGCCGGGGGCAATTTGGGCTGGCCAGCCAGGACGTTGACCACTGGCCCTGATGGGGACAGGGTGAGACGGCCCAAATTGGCTCCAATCGCTGGCCAGACTGAGGAACCCCACCCATGCACGAATTCGTGCACTGGGCCTCTAGTAGATAGATAAATAAATTGAGGCATATTTGTATCATGGAATACTACATGGAAAAAAAAAGCTATGTTTAATTGCAAAGAGGGGTTGATCACAAAGATATACTGCTGATAAAAAGAAGCTAGACTCAAAAAAGACATGTTCTGCCCAGCCGGCATGGCTCAGTGGTTGAGCATTGACATATGAACCAGTAGGGCATGGTTCAATTCTCGGTCAGGGCAAATGCCCATGTTGTGGGCTCAATCCCCCATCGGGGGCGTGCAGGAGGCAGCCAATCAGTGATTCTCTCTCATCATTGATGTTTCTATCTCTCTCTCCCGCTTCCTTCCTTTCTGAAATCAATAAAAATGCATGTTCTGTGATTCCATTTCTATGAAATTCAAAAGCCAGGCAAAACCAATAAGATGTTCAGAGTACAGCAGCATAACACCTGAAGAGGCAACAAGGGCGGAAATTCATCTGGCTGGAGATTTAGATCTGAACATTTTACTATGTGAGAAATAAACCTCCACAAAAATAATAATCATAATTTTTAAAACAAAGAAAAAAAACACAACTAAAAAATAAATACCGTTCTCAATATGACATCATTTAGATAGTGCTAAGCTGAGAAGCCAGATCTAAGACCTTGCTTCTCAAAGCTCAAGCTTCTAAATCAACAAAGTAGATTTCTGTCAATTTTAGTGTTCCCTCTCCCCATGTCCATTCCATTCCAGAGTCTCAATGTTAATGTCAGGGCAAATGATCACAGAGACCTCGAGAGTCCTCGAGAAACCCACAAGGGAGCATTTCCTTTTTTTAGGTCCAAAGCCCCACTTTGAAGCACTCCTCATTTTGTACTGGTTTTCTAATTCTCTCTGTTAACCATTTGTTTTTCTTCTGATTCCTTTTTCTTATATTAGACTTTTTTTTTTTTCAAAAGATGCTTATCTTTCCTCTCTTCTCACAGGACAGGCAAGGTGGGAAGTCTGATGGTGACACGTCAGCCAAGGGTGAACTTGTAATGCAGGTACCTCAGTATCCCGAATCTGATCATTCATCCTAACTTGGTCCAGGGCTGTGGAAAGGAAGACAGGGTTTGGGTGCTTCTTTCTTTCTATTTACTTTCTCATCTGATCAATTATATCAGTTATATCACACAAGACACTTTATTTCCAGCCTCTGGAATTACCTTTGACCACCACACTGTAGGCAAGTAGTGCGAGGGGGGTTGGTTGAGCCCATGGCGGGCCAAATTGGCTTTATTGCCTTTTTAAGAACAAGTTGCTTTAGAAACTCCAATATGCTCATCCCCTAAAAAAAAAATAACAAGAGTGTCGCCTAAAAATATACAATAGATTTTCCAAGATTGCCATGCTGTCTCCAGAAAGCAATAGGCCAACATGAAGCTAATGTATCCAAAAATTCTTCTTTATCCTGAAACACATATTTAAGAACTCATTTTCACTTAGGTTCACCAATAAACACCTTATCTTTGTGCCTTCCACAGAGGTCCAGGGATTGCAGGGGAGCTACAAAGAGTACTAACTAAGAAAGAAATAGGAAATGAGGGCCTCCTCCTCTTCCTCTGAACCTTAAATTTCCTTGTTTAAAAAGGGGCACAGTAATCCCTGCACTACCTACCCCCAAAGGTTCCCTGAGATTCAATGACAACATGCAGATTAGTGTTTTTAGAAAATTAAAGCATAAGCAATAATGATGGGGGATCTTAATGATGTGAGAAAACTCCAGGTATCTATAAGGACAGAAGGTCAAGTGGAACAGACAGACAGACACACAATGAAGGCCTACCAGTTGTTTACAACTGGCATCCATTTGGTTAGCCTGCATCTGCACTGATTGGGCAATGCCCATGCTCTACAGGATGTTGAATATTTTGAATACCACTCCCAGAAGTAAAAATTACTCTTCAGGCCCCAAGATGCTCCACACAGACATTCACCCTAAGGCAGATGAGAATATTCCTAAAAATCATAATAATTGGTGCTGTCTGTTTCAAACAGCATGGCTCTGGGTTTGTTGCATTTTCAGCCTGGGATCTGGGAAAGTGAGCATTAGTGAATATGGAGCACAGTTGTGTCTCTGTATAGTGTGTCCTTTAGCAAAACCCATGAGTATTGATTGACTACTCACTCCTGTATCTGGTGTCATGAGGTCCTTGGTACAAGATTTATTTATATATATACACACAAACACACACTGCTTTGGAGGCATTTGAGATCCAGTGGCTGTTTTTGAGACATTTACCTAAGAAAATGGAAAACAAATCAACAAAAACAAAAGAAACCCAGAAGGTATTTGATGTTTCAATTGCAATAGCTTTAGTTGCAGTAACGAAGGAAAACTTCATAGAGGAAGTAGCTCTTGCACTGGAACCTGGGGTTGCAAAGAAAGAAGAGGGAATTTCAGGGCACTGAGCAGAAGAAACCAGGGTGAGCAGATCCACTCTCGAGGGTAAAAGCCGTGTTTGGCCAGAACTGCAGTGAGGGTTAGAGTGATTAAGAGATAACAGTTGAATGGGGCTACACTGAAATGCTTTGGATGCCAGGTTAGGAGTTTTGGATTTTATCATTGGGTCAATGAAGTGTTATTAAAGGTTTTTGAGCAAGAGTGGCATGACTCATATGATATCCTGGGGGCAGCCAATAGGACTTAACCTGAACTGGGAAATGCCTGAGCAGTATGGTTGCTACGGCAGCTGCAGAGAGAAAGGGACGTTCCAGGGGAAAAAATTGGCAGAACAGGGTTTCCCTGGTTGACTGGATAAATAATAATGGCATATTTAAATTGAAGCAGGGAGCCAAGAGTGACAACCAGTTTGATGGGGAAAGAAGATAGGTCAGGTTTGGGATATGTTGACGTTTGGAGCAACCTGATGGTAAGACATCTGGTTGAAGGTACCCACTGGACAATGAGAAATGAGGAATCAGGGCTCAGGAGGAAAATTGGTGCTGGGGGAATTCGTGGTTAACTTCATGAGTGTTATTTTACTTAGGAATTTGACCAGATGGCCATACTGTTGAAGGTCATTTTCAGTTGTATCCTTCACAACATCTAATTTTGTGCTGTGTGCACAATGTCTTACCATTGTTGAATGATTTGAAGTTGTGATGCCATTGTCCCATCTCTTCAAACCGTGTCACCATTCACACCACTCAAAGCCCACTCAGGCTGAAGACACTTAGCTGCTTAACCCCTCAGAAACTCAGCCAGTGGACAAAGACCTACCTCCCATCATCCTCTCCTCCATGACTGTAACTGCTTCCTACCCACCTCTCCCAGATGCTGTCTTAGTATAAACTCTCATCTCATTCCCCTGGTTGGCTGAAACAGAGCTAATTCCTTTTTCTTTTACTTTTTAAGTACAAGATCATCCCCACCCCGGGTACCCACCCCCTGCTGGTCTTGGTGAACCCCAAGAGTGGAGGGAGACAAGGAGAAAGGTATGTTCTCTTCTTTTTCAAAATGGAAAGGCCAGAAAGCCTCACTTGGAACCTTTCTTCCCCTCAGCCATGATAGAGTGGACTGAACAGAGACAGGCAGACCTGGGTTCAAATCCCAGCCCTCCTATTTAACCACTTGATGACCTGGTTCAACTGACTTAATGTCCCTGGGTCCCTTCTCTGTAAATAAATAAGAATTTCTCCTCTCATAGGGTGGTTGTGAGGATTAAAACACACACAGTGCTTAGCCTAGGGCCTGTCACATGTGCCATTATTATGGCTCCCAGAGTCAGACCAAGTTCTGAGATGCCTGTTAACTTCCTAGTCTCTCAAGTCTTTTCTTGACTAAGAGATGTGGCAGGACTCACCGATTGGGACCTCCTGGCTTATCGAGCCCCTGAGAAAACAGGGCACTCAGCTCATCCGTGAAGGAAATGCCCAGTCTGCTGGAAGCACTAAGAGAGTTGGAGGAGAGAGGGAGAAAGGGCAAAGCAGCGCTGCCCCCAGTCCTGTCAGCTCTGGGATAATGTACAGATGGCATGGGGGTTTGGAATCCAGGTTTAAAATGATAAGTAAGGTTACAGAAACAACTATGAGACCCCTACCCCAGTCCAAGGGGCAGAGCATCGCTTCTGAACTGACCTGGTTAGCCTCAAGCTGAGCCTTGAAGCCAAGCTTAGGTGTGGTCATTGCCCCCAGCCCTCCCCTGTCCCAGCCCCACCTCCTGTATTTCCTCCTGATTCCAGTATTTGGGTGGCTTTTCCATTGATGCCTTTGTATAGTCCACAGGAGCAGAACTGTACAACCTAGAACATACAGAACATTTGAGAGAAGATCTCCATGAAGAAAAAAGCGTTAGGAGAATAGAAGTTCTGTTCTCTGAGTTCCCTGCCTTCTGGGCAAAGAGTGATACTTCTGGCATTGAGGGGCAGAGTCTTGGAGAGTGGAGAGGCCTTGAACCAGGGGGTTAGGGCATGAGGGATGCCTGCTAAAGCTGGGACTTTAGGGTCTGCAGGGCCTGCATTCAGTCTTTTCTGCAGCAGGGTTTAAGCAGACTCTCATTCCCACCATCAATGTGCTCCAGAGGTGTTTGCCCTACTGTGGCTTCTCATAATGATATCTCCTTCTCTGCCTCTCTCTCTCTCTCTCTCTTTCTTTTTTTTCTCCCCATAGAATTCTTCGGAAATTCCACTATCTGCTCAACCCCAAACAAGTTTTCAACCTGGACAATGGGGGGCCTACTCCAGGGTATGGAGATACAATTCTTACTCCTAATTTCTCCACTTTCCCCTTAAGTCTCTGAAGAGTATACCTTTATGTCACCTTCCCCCCCCCTTTTATTTGTGTACTTATCCTTCTTGCCTTTTACTCACTTTCTCTTCCTTTCCTTATATCTACCCTTCCTCCTGGCGGTACTCAGGAATTCTCATTATGTTTAACTCTGGGAGGTAGCCTCCTGCATGTGCTATTCATTTGATTGACAGGAAGGGCGGGCTGGTACGTTATTTTAAGTTATTTGCAGGACTGTGTTAGCTGGTGTCTTCATATTGAGTCATCAAGGAGGAAGAAAGAGTTTCCTTTTCACTGTTATTCAGTAGTTCTGCTGCAATTCTGTTGTGGGTCATTTTAGGATCAAAACAATTGGTTATTCAATGAAATCACCTTTTTTCTGGATTATCCATTTTAGAGATTGTTAAGTACTCTATGACCCTTCTCCTATCATTTGTCTACTGGCTCTTTCACTCCTCATTAGAGAGGGAGAGTGACAACAGGAGGCAGCCCTTCTGCACCTTGATGAAAGGTCTGGAGGGAGGAACAGGGCCTCGTGTTAGCACTAACATGATGAGGTGCAGGACCCTGTAATCAGCGACCCCTCCAGCATCAGGCAGAAGGCTCTCAAAGGCCGTTCTTACCACACAGAGACTGTGCACCAGAAACAAGTGCTGGCCAGAGGCTCTCTCGGCTCCAGGTCCTCAGATCTGTGCCCGCTGGGCTGGGCTTTGCAGCACGCTTTGCCCAGCCTCCTAACCCGCCTTCTATACTGGGTCCAGCAAGACCCTCGGAAGGGCTGCTGTAAGGACTCTAAAAAGGGAATCTGCCTCTGTCTTTGTTTTTTTGACACAACTCTATCATTTATGGCAGTGGCAGTGCAAGACCCAGTAAAAGGGAAAAAGAAACCTGAGTGTGGATTCAGCACCTCTGCCACGATTTAAAACTAACTGTGGCTCAGTGGTCACAGTTGGATTCCTGGTCAGGGCACATGCCCGGGTTGTGGGCTCAATTCCCAGTGGGGGCATGCAGGAGGCAGCCAATCCATTATTCTCTCTCATCATTGATGTTTTGATCTCTCTCTCTCTCTTTTTCCCTTCCTCTCTGAAGTCAATAAAAGAAAATTAACAACAACAAAAGAAAAACAGGGCCACCTATGCTGTTGCAGGTGCCATCATGGTCACCATGACTGCCAGTGACTGCTCCATGATGACTGTGACTAAGCAGCAGCATATGGACACCTTTACTAGCCCATTCTCTTTGAAGACATTTTAATACTTGAATGCAGTGCTCCTGCTTAACCTCATCTGCCCTAAATTGTTTTTGCCCTGGATGACGAGCCAAGTGACACCTTCTAGGGCTGCTGTGCTGAGTATCTCAGAGGTGTCAGTCTGTACTCAGACAGGCTGTGTAGGTGATGGAGCCTCCACTCAGAGTTCACTTTCCAGAGGAGAGCAGGGAAGGAAGGGGAAGAGAGGGTTAGTTGTACAGTTGCCAAAATAAGCAAAATATGGATTCCTCTGCACAAATAATAGAAAATAGAATGTGAGTTTGCCCACACCTGCAGCAGTGATTCAGTAAACCCAGGGATCTTCTGAGACCACCAGGTTGGGCAAGGAGGAAACATTGAGCTTTCACTTCCCAAGTCCCACCCCAAGATGTCCACAGGTCACGTTTGCTCTGAAACAGAGGTTCTTAATCTTTCTGTGGCAGGAACCTGATTGGCAGTCTGACGAAGCCTGTGGACCCTTTCTCAGACTAATATTTTTTAACATATAATCAGGGAAACTAATTCTATTGAAAATAGTTATCAAAATGTTAAGAAAACAAATGTGCGATATGGGAATATATGTGATTTACTAACACATTATGTAGCAAATTCCTGAGGCAGGTCTAATAACTATTGTAAATTCAAAGCAGTGATGTACATTAATGGTAGTATTAATGGTAGTATTAATGTAGGAAAACATTAAAATACTTGTGATTTTGATGCCTGACAAAGGCATGGGTATTGGTAATATGTCACCTACATTCACAAGAGAAGAAAATGCTAAATTTCAGTTAGAGCTTAGGAAAGATAAGAATGTAACATTTTATCTCCAAGTTCATAGTCCTCTGGATTCTACCCACAGACTCCTTGGAAGTTCATGGACTTCGAGTTAACAGCCCTACTCTAAAGGGTCAAGGCCCCCTAAGTGCTCACTGCACTTAGGTCTGGACCCACAAGAGAGCTGGATAAAGATGTAGCTAGTTGAGTGCATCTGATTTGAAGGAGCAGTTGTGGGGAAAGAGCAGGCAGGAAAGCCAAAGTGGAGTCAAAGTGTTGGAGGTTAGTTGTACTGTTGCAAAAAAAAAAAAAAAAAAAAAGCAAAATATGGATTCCTCTGCCCCAGTAATAGAGAATAGGAAAAAAAAAAAAAAAAAACTTGTTCTGTGTTGAATGTTGAGTCAGACTCTCCTTATACAAGGATGGCCCCTGAGATTCATATTCAATGGTATTGCTTAGTAAGTTCTGATTTCAGAATATTAAGTGACCCTCTCAACCCCAAAAGGAATCAAGGTTATAACATACTCCCAGGGAAAGGGGTGGGGGTGGAGGGACTCTGTCTCAAGTAGTGTCAAAGATCCTAGCAAACAAGACCATTTGGGCCTTTCTTCTACTTCCCAGACTGAACTTTTTCCGGGATACTCCAGACTTCCGTGTCTTGGCCTGCGGAGGAGATGGGACAGTTGGCTGGATTTTGGATTGCATTGGTAAGAATGGGCTGGGAGGACCTTTTCAGTTTACTTATAGTAAGTATATTTAAAGTCTGAAGAAGGCAATAAAAAAAGAAAGAGAAATGTAGCCATGTCTTGCTCATCCTTGTTTCCACTCTTGGACCAATGCTTGACTAAATATTTACTTTGGGTGGAAAAACAAAGAAACAAGACCATGGAAGGATTTCCACAGGTACAGATGGAATAGTTTATTTCAGGCCTTGCCTCAAAAACATCTGTCATGCCCAGGATTTGGTCAATGGCAGGACAGGCCAGATTGGGTGGTCCGGGGGGAGGGAGGCGTGTAGGTTTGAGACTCCAGGCAGAGCCAAGGTGGTGGATAAAGGCCAAAGAACTAAGTATAGATGCATGTTCCAGGGAAAATCACCTTGAGATGAGTACCAAGAGTCCAAGCCCAGAAAGCACATATATAAAGTGCAGACTAGTGCAAGCAAAGAAAGGCCACATTGGGCTGTGTCCAACACACTTAAATCAGAGGGGCAGTGGTGAGAGCCCAGGCTGAAAATTAGGGTTCCTAATCCAGCTCTGCCTGATCTATGGGTCCTTGGACACACCACCCCCAGTAAGTAATGGAGACTGACTCTGAAATCCTGGGACGAGAGCATATTCAAGATCTAACCCTGGAGAACCTAGATAAACACTGGGATGTGGACATAAGGACAGAAAAGGGAAGAGCTTGGGAGAGCCATCATTCAAGTCCAATACTGGGCCCATAGTGACAAGCCCTGGGCTGCTTCTTTCTTCCTGTCATTCATTCCACAAATATTGTCTGTGCACCTTCTGTGCCAAGCTCTCCTTGAGACAATGAATAAATGGACAAAAATCCCACCTTCAAGGAGTTTTCCTTCTACAGGGAAGACACAAGCAATAAACAAAGGAGTAAGTGAAACATATAATATATCAGAAGGTGATAAAAAAATATATATATATAGCAAAGAGGGGGCAAAGGGAACACAGGTGTGGAGTGAGGGCTGCAACTGAAATCCTAGTGGTCAGGGAAGACCTCTCAGAGCAGATGATGTTTGCATGGGGACTTGGACGGGGTGAGCCATGCGGACACCTGAGGGAAGAGCAGTTTGGAGGCTCCTGCAGTCACCCAAGTGAGGGGTGACCATGGTTTGGACCACAGCAGAAACAGGAGATGGGGAGACTGCAGCTGGAAAATTTTCTTGGTACACTAAGTTGTTACACTGCCACATCTAACTGGGTACCTTATTTTGAAAAGTTTCACTATAATGCCTGCTCCATTTAAGCTTCTAAATGGAAAAACAAAAATAAAATGAAATTACCAATAATTTTGTGTCAGATTTTGGATATCTTTTGAAGGTAGAGCCAATAGGATTTGCTGGCAGACTGATGTGGGAAATGAGGACAAGAACAGAACCAAGGATAGGTCATGATGGACCATGAACAGGGCAGGGCAGGGCAGGCTGTCCTCCAGGGGTCATAAGCCGACCCCTTGGAGGGGTGGGACCAGCACCTGCACTCCTGCTGCTTTTGGCTCCCTCACAGGCACTTTGGTTTCCATAGAAACAGCCCTGCCAAGCAGCCACCCACACACTCCTGTCACCTCCGGCTTGAGTTGTTTGTGGGAGGAGGGAGGTGTCCCCTGGGAGTCAGGAAAGAAAAGCTGATCAGCAGAGGATGGATGGTTGCAGTACTGAGGGCTGCTTGCATGGTTCCCTCTCCATCATGAAGGAGGAAGTAGACTTTGGTGAAAAGTTTTATAAAATTCATCTGCAGAGGACACAGGTGATAGAAGCTGCTCAAAATAGAAAGAAAGAAGGTCATGTGAGATTATCTGCTTTTTACAGGTTAGTGGGTCAAGGAGGAAAAATCAGTGGTAAGAGGAATAATGGCACAGTGTTCATTCATTCATTCAAGAAATATTGGAGCAATTCTTCAGTGCTCTCTACCACCCCAGTTGGTCCCTTCCCTGATCTGTTCTCCCTCTACAGCCAGAATGGTCTTACCTAAATGTCAATGGGTTCATGATGCATGTGAAGCACATAAATGGCTTCTCATTATTCTTAAAATAAATACAAAAACTCTTCAAATGATCTGCAGGAATCTGCGTGGTCTAGCAGCTGCCCACCCTTCCAGCCTTATACCTCCATCCTTCTCCCTACTCAAGCCACACAGTTCCTTTCTCAGACCCTTGGATACTGGTAGACCCACCCCTTCCACCACAGGGCTCTTGCCCGAGTTGTTCCTCCTGTCTGGTATGCTCCCCTGGTCTTTGCTGGTCAGTTTCTACTTCAGATCTCAGGCAAAGTGTGGCTTCCTCAGGAGAGCCTTTCCTGACATATCCCCAGCCTCTGTCACCTTATTATCGGACCACACTCCTTTCATCTTCAGCATAAATTTGAAATTTATGGGAAGACCTCATTAATTTCTGTCTCTCCCCTTCGACTACCACGAAAGCCTAAGTCATAGCTTTTTTTTTTACCTGCTTTTAGAGCCCTAGTACATAGTAGGCCTTCAGCAAGTATGTATGGAGATATTGTGGTGAATGAGATATAGATCCCAGGAGGTTACAGTACATTCAGGGAATAAATGAATAGTCAATTACAAGACATTGTGATGAGATTGTCCCTAATGCTAAAGAAACATTCTAGAGAGGAACCTGGTCCAGACTAGGGCCACCAGGGAGGAACTCTCAGAGGCAGCATCTGAGATGAGCCACACAGAGCTTGTGATTTAAGGCACTGAAAACATTAAGATGTGGTTGACATGTTGGATGGGAGGTTGGAGTGATAAGATGGATGAGGAGGTTGGATGAGGCTAGAGAGGAAGGCAGAGCCTGGAAGGGCCTAGTGTGCCATGCTAAGGGGTGAGCCCCAACAGTGTGAAAGCAATAGACTAACGTGATCAGGCTTGTGGTTCAAGGATTTCCCACCTTGGCGAATGTGTAGAAAACACGTGAGGGGGTGGAACTGGAGGCTGAGGGGGCCAAGAGGAGACAGTTGCAACCACACCAGTGGGAAGGAATCATATCATTCCTGAACTCAGGCATCACTATGGGGATAGAGAGAAAAGTTTTCTTGGAGATCTGCTAAGGGAGAAAGCTCACAGAACTTGATGAGTGAATAATGTGGGGTGAGGGAGAGGGGAAACCTAGGATGGCATCCAGCTTTCTATCCTCCACACTGTGAAGATGGTTGACTACAGAAGAAAGAGCAGATCTAAGGAAACAAGGGTCTTCCAGGCAAAGGGACCAGAGTGTGCAAAGGTAGGGAGGCATAAACACTGACTATGGGTTCTGGGAACAATGAGAAAGTCCATTGCTTTACTCCAGCCTCCATCTTAACCCTCCCACTTATAATCTCAGCCCTGGGTTTTGCCAGAGCTCAAGTCAGACAAGCCAGGGGACCTATGAACTCCTGTTTTGCTGGGGCAACCCTAGCATGATCCTCATGTAGGATGCTGATTCCTGTAGTACCCCAACCCCCTACCAGCACTCCCCATAATATCATTCATTGTCCCTGGCACTAGATGAACTGAGGTTTATGTAAATAGGCACCTTCTTGAGCCCAATGGGTGTCTGCACCTCTTCCAACTTTCTTAATCAGCTAACATAAACTTCTGTAGATCTTCAGCCAGATTAAAACATACATGGTCTTCTGTGCTATCTCTAATGGTTCGGTCTGATGCTGCTTCACACCAGCATGGAAAATAAATTTAGGAATCTGTGTATTTGCAAGTCTGGGAGGAGGTGAAAGTGGCAAACTGCTACCTGGGTGCCAAATGACACATGGAGGTTTTCTGTTAGACACACTGCTATGTTTAAACTTTTGAACACGAATGACTTTAAGTGTGACATCTTCAGTTTTCCAAATGCCTCACTATTCCCTGATGTCTCAAACCCACCTGTGCTACTATCTATGCACCTGCCCAGTCCTTGAAGAAAGGAGGAGCATGTTTGGAGCTCTAGAGCTCAGGGTTTGGATCCTGGCTCTGGAGTTACTTTCCTCTCTCTTCCTCAGTGTCTTCATTTATGATGAAAATGATAAGACCCTGCAGGGTTGGTCTGAGGAGTAAATGTAACAAGTGCTGGTTATCACTAAGGATTAAAGCTGCACAAACTGCAGTAATGATTTTTGAGGTTGCTGTCACCCCAAAGGAAAGGATTGGGGTGAAATTCTGATGAAAAGATGCAAGTTACAAGGAGACAGATTTCGTTCACTATGAGAAAACCCTTTGTAATGGTCTACACCAGTGATGGCGAACCTTTTGAGCTCGGCGTGTCAGCATTTTGAAAAACCCTAACTTAACTCTGGTGCCGTGTCATATATAGAAATTTTTTGATATTTGCAACCATAGTAAAACAAAGACTTATATTTTTTATATTTATTTTATATATTTAAATGCTATTTAACAAAGAAAAATCAACCAAAAAAATGAGTTCACGTGTCACCTCTGACACACGTGTCATAGGTTCACCATCACTGGTCTACACACTGCAGATGCAGGAGATTACTTCAGCAAGTAGTGTGTTCCCCATCATGGGAGGTATTCTAACAAAGAACACTATGGAAGGGTTCAAGCATCAGGTCAGGGATAACTAGATAACTTGGACATTCTGTAATCCCATGGCATGTGGTTCTCTCATCCTCTTCATGGGTTGCAGATAAGGCCAACTTTGCAAAGCATCCACCAGTGGCTGTCCTGCCTCTTGGAACAGGAAATGACCTGGCCCGATGTCTCCGCTGGGGAGGAGGTGAGTCTACCAGGAGCAGCACTCCCCTGGGGACAAGCTTTCCAGTCAACAGGGATGCTCCACAGAGCTAGGCTGAACTTCCCTCTAGGGATCACATTCCACAGACTAATGCTCAACTCTGGGGTCAGATAGACTTCATGGCTGTTTCCCTGCCCTGCATGGCAGTCTTATGCTTACCCCTGACTACATTTCCTGTCATCCTGAAACTATTTGCTTATTGCCTGCCTTCCCCAGTAGAACAAGTCAACTTTAAGATAGAGTCTCCTTCCCAGCACTCTTCACAGTAGGGCTCATTTAGACAGGTGTTTTCTGCATAAAATTCCCCCTTCCCAAATTACTGATCTTCTTCTGAATTAGGACTCAGAATGCAAACTGAAAGGCCACATCACCGGCTATTGACAGCATCCAGATCAACTTAGCCTCCCCCTCCTCCCAGCCATGGACCCTCATTTTGAAAAATTCAGAAGGGGGAATTCAAAGTGGTAACCAGCTTACAAGGCAATAGGCAGGAGCTAAGCTGAGATCTTTGCAAACTACAACAACCCCCATGGAGCTGGGCATGCTCCAGAAAGTGCAGAAGTTCAGATCAGCCCAAGGAGCCCACAAACCAGTCTGGCGGGTAGAATCAGAGTGAGACTGAGAATGGCTGATCAATTCAGAGAGCAATTCAAAACCAGGCCAGGCAGCAGTCAGTGTTCAGAGGCTGGTGCATGTTCAGGGGCAGAGCAAGTGAGATCCAGCCTAGAAGGAAGTTGGCAAGCACTGGAAGAGCTACCAGAGTCCTTGGCCACACACTGAGGCTAGAAAAGAGTCGTCTGTTCAGAGAGACAGGCAGAGTGTGGCCCCGCACTGTGAGCATTAGGCAGCAGACACCGGCACCAATTTCATGCAGGAAACCCAGCCTGCACTCCCAGATAGTTTTAAGGCCCTCCACTATGTAGCTGCTACCACAGCTATCTTGTAGGGCATCCCCTAATTTGCTGACCAAAGCCCTGACAACTTGAAAATACTCTTCAAGGTTGCCCCGAAAGTAAGCAGGAACATAGAAGTGTTATTTGAAAGAAAAGACTGTCTGTCCCATTAACCTCTCACTACTTACAATTCACATTATATGTTAGTTTTCTATTGCTACATAACAAATTATCATAATGTAGAGGCTTAAAACACCCATTTTTAGTTCACATTCAGAAGCCCTAGCACAGGCCCTCACAGGCTGAAACCTGGTCTCACTAAAGCTTCCAGGGAAGACTTTGCTCCTAAGCTCACTCAGGTGATTAGCTAAATTCAGTTCTCTGTGATTGTAGGATTGGGGACCTGTTTCCTTCCTGATTGTCTGCAGGGACCACTCTCAGAGGCCAGAGGCCTCCCTCATGACTTGCCAGATGTGGTCCCTCCATCTTCAAAGCTGGCAACAGAGAATCTTCCTCATGTCGAATCCCTCTCAAGCTTCTAATCTATTTCTTAAGAAAAGCCCAGTCCTTTCTGAAGACTCCTCCAATTAGGTCAGCTCCATCCAGGATACTCTTCCTCTCTCAAAGTCAACTGTTTCACATTATGTACCTAATTGCCCCTTATTCATGGGACCCAGGGTAGGCAGGAATCGGTGGGGGAAGGGGGGTCATCTTAAAATCCTGTCTACCACACTGTCCCTCTCTGACATGACATGGTCTAGAAATGGGTCCTCCCTTCTCCCATATGCAGCTTTCCAACCACCCAGCCCAAGTCTCCAGGGCTTGCTTCAGCAACATAGCTTGCCCACTTTTGGCCAGCCCCGCCCCGCTCCCCTGCTGCTCTGGCTTTCAAATCTCCCCAGCTTCTTTCTATTTGCTCCAAGTTGCCCTCTCCTTCTCTGTGGCTCAGGGAACCTAAGTATCTCTGGCCCACAGGCACATTGGGGGACTCCAGGTCACAGATGCCCACAGGATTCCCTGCTCTGAACTGCCTGTACATCAGCGACAACTTAGCTTTCTGCTTTGGGACAAATGCAATGTTATGCTCCACAGGCTATGAAGGGGGAAGCCTGACAAAAATCCTGAAGGAAATTGAGCAGAGCCCCTTGGTGATGCTGGATCGCTGGCACCTGGAAGTCATCCCCAGAGAGGAGATGGAGAACGGGGACCAGGTCCCATACGACATCATGAACAACTACTTCTCCATTGGTGTGGTGAGTTGGCCATGGATTGCCTTTCTGCATGGAAGAGAAATGCTTGGGCAGGCAGGAAAGGTTCTGGTCCACCATTGTCCCCCTGGCCTGGTCTCCCTACTCTTTACCTCTCCCGGCTGCCTCCAGCCTTGACTTATGTCCAAGCATCCTCGCATCTGGACACCTTAACTGTACCAAGCCCCTTCCTTAGTTATATAGGAATTTCCTTCTCCAATAATTTTAACTAACTGAAGAAAAGACAGGACATTTTTCAAAAGACATATTTATCCTTTTGATAATTTGAGGCAGTTAAAGAAAAGCAGCACCAAGAAATAACCAAGGGGCGAGGTCAGGAGACTCTCACACAAACTTTCAGAGATGTAACTCTGTCCTCCAGGGAGGACTGCGTGAGTCCAAGCAGCTTGACTGACTTAGGTCTCAGAATTCCTTCTCTCCTGTTTTCTCCCTTTATCTCAACCCCATTCCCCACATTCCAAGTGCTCACAAATCTCTGTGGCTTCTCCCCTGGCTGACCCCTCCGGCTGAGCTCTGTGCTCCTCCTTGATGCTCCCATGGCCCTCTGTACTTATCCCATCAGTGCACTCGCTGCATTAGATCGAAGGGATTGGTTGAGTGTGCCCATCTCCCTCTGCCAACACACACACACACACACACACACACACACACACACACATAATGCCACAATCCTCTTGCTCCCTGCAGCCCTCAGCACATCTAATGCAGCACAGTTACGTTGTGTTGATGAACTCAACTTCTGATCCAAAGAGGATGGGGTGGACGCTGCTTCCCAAACTGTTGGGGACAGGAGGGGAGAGAAAAGGGATCCAACACTGCCAAAAATAGAGCTGGGGTTTGGGAGGCAGGTGAAACAAAGACAGTAGCATTTACTGAGCTCCTACTGTGTGCTCTCCACCGTGCCAGACTTTATGTATTCTAGTCCTCAGAGCAATCCTGCAGGAATCTTGTCCCCACTATCCCCATTTTACAGGTGAGGCCTCAGGACACTGGACCAGGAAAGGGCAGAGCTAGCACATACATGCTCTGCCTCATTCTGAAGCCAGGCTCATTACTCGGTGTCCCTGTCTTGGAATTTAGCTGTCCAGCTCCATATGTATTTGAGTCCCTCCAGACTCCAACTGTGTGATACCTGCACTCCTCAACCATCCTCACCTATGCCTCTTTTGACAATATTTTGGTGGTTAAAAAAAGAGAGAGAGAAGAGGAAATGATAAAGATATTGTGCAAGAGCAGGTTTAAGGAAAGGATTTTGTTTTTTAATAAGAATAGGAGAAAGAGAACAATGGAAGCAGAAATGATTACTATTAGTAATAATACCTTAGATTTATAGAATTTCTAATTTTCCATAATTACAGATATTTTCTTGATTCTTATGACTGCCCTGAAGGGCAGTATTATCTCCATTTCACAGGTGAGGAAACAGAGACAAATTAAGGGATTTGCCTTCATGTTTTGACTCCTAATCCAGCACTCTTTTTCTACTACTAAAACAGAAGGGAGGCATTGCTGGACCCACAATCGGGTTCTGAAAGGATGGAGGTGTTGGACTAGGGGTAAATTCAGGGGTTTCTGTGCCCTGTTCTTGTTTATCTCCTCAGCTCCCTTAGTCTCAGGTCGGGGAGACATCATTCCCTAGGCCTTTTCCATCACTCTAGTGACCTTAGCAGACTCCTCCCTCCTCTTCTTGGCTCAAAGGCCCCTCTCCTTTTCAGATCACCTGCTTAGGCTCCACTTCCCCCAATGGGAACATGCAATCATCACCTCTTATAAATCAGGCATGACTGGCATATCTGGCATCCAGGGGGCTTCCCATCATTACCTTTTCACAAAAGCTCAAGTATTTTGCCTATAACAACTAGAATATAACTTGCTGACATTTATTAGGTACCTACTGCACTCCAGGCATAGTTTCCCTGTTGGTAAGTATTGTCATTATTCTTTTGTACTTTGTAAGAAGGAGCTACAGCTTAGAAAGATACAGAGTGATAAAGCCAGGAGCCACAGCACCACTACTGCCTGGATCCAGAGCCCACTGAGCTGTGAACCATGAGCCCTGCAGCCTCTGCACAAACCCCTCTGTCTTCATGCCACCAAACCGGCAGCATTTGGGTCGGGGGATGGCGATGATTCAAAATTTAGTGTGTGCTGACTCACCTATGCCCCTTGTCAGAAATGCAAATTCTACTCCCTGAGTCCACTCCACCCCACAGTTTTACTTCCTTACAATGATTCAGTTGGTCTTGACAAAGTCTGGAAATTTGTATTTTTAATAAGCCCCTGAGATAATTCTGATGTAAATGGTCCCCATGAAGTCTTCAGTGAGTGAAGACCATTCATTAGAGCAGAGAATAGCCAAAGGAAGTAGTTCTTCAAGGAGCAGAAACCAGAACTGAAATAAAAGAGAGAAAAGACAGGCAAGGGAAACCAGTACCTATAAGCAACCAGCCAGAAATGAGAGCTGAGCTGCAGGACAAGTGACCTGCCTTCAGCCCCAAATCTTCTCTCTTAACACACCCAGATTCTGGTTGCCAAAAATACCCCTGCCTGTCTCTACACAGTGCCATATGCAAAAGGGGGAGAGGGGCACTCATTTAGTATTAGCTAACCAAATGGATGGACACAATAAGAGAATAGACAACTTCCCCTCAACTAGATAACCAAGCCTAATCCCCAGAGCCAACACTGATCATGGTTTTAATTCATTATTGCAAATAAACTGGGAAGGGAGGGAAGAAGGCCAGCTAATTGTCCCCCAAGGAAATTCATGTAAACAGATTCTCCATCACACTCTGTGGTCAAGCTATTTATTTGCCCTGGGCTGACTTACAATAATCCAATCTGTTCATCCTTCAAATTATGAAGAACTTCACAGCACCTTTTCTTATAATCCCTCCACACATCTTTAGCTTGTGCATATTTAATATTTTATTGCAAAGCAGTGAGGAACCAGGGCTGTTTTTTTATCTCCTTGGTGTGCCCTTAGCCTTCTCGCAATATAATGTTTGCAGGGTTTGTGTGCTCGCTCTTTAAAAATTGGAAAGAGAAATTCTTGAGAAAACAAGTAGCCAACACACAACCCTAACAGAACCTGGGACTGACATTTGCAGAAGCTCTTGCTCCCTATTTGACTTCCCAAACTTTGTAAGATGAGAAGTAGGTATGTAAACCAACCCACAGTTTTACTTCCTTATGATGATTAGAGTCAGACTCCTTTGGCAAAGAGAGCCGTGCAAAGTCTTTGGCTCTTTTGAAGGACTTGGAATATCTGTTAATATCAAATGTCTGCTGCCTCACACTTACAAAGGTGATGACAATGACCGCTGCTGTGGAGCCCATAGGTGGTAAAGAACTTGCCCTGACAGTTCACTGGTCCCCTTCTTACCATACAACCCATTTAATAGATGGAGGGATAAACCAGGAAAACGCTCCTGGCCTAAGCAAGGAGTGACTATGGCCTCATTGTCACCACATTCCCATAACCTTTGTACATGCCAGCTCCTGTCGGCGAAGCGTGGAGATAGTTGGCCTTCTCAGTCCCCCTGATAACATCCATTGGCAGGAGATTTTAAACATAGTCATTCAGGATGCTACTTCCTCTGACTTCTCTGGCCTCCTCGTCTCTGCTCTTTATTTTTGGATTGGCAGAAATGTCAGGATGGCCAGGTATCAGTGACAGGAAGTTTGGGACTGAAATAATTCCTGGGGCATGTGTAGCTCTGAACGTCTCAAAGGCTCTGCTGTCACTGAGCCTTCCAGGATGAGTGAACAGCTAATCCCTTGATTCAATGAGATCTATTTCTAATGCTGAGGGGCCCCGGGGGCCAAGGAGAGGCCATAGTCATCACACTAACCCATGCCATTCTCCACCTTACAGACTGGATTTATCAGACTTCACCAGCCAAGTTTCTACAATGGAACACCTTTTACCCATTAGGGAATTTATATTTTTAAAAAATCATCATTGTCCCTGCACCTTTGGACTCCTTCAGCCTCAGGTTTTTGTCTGTCACCTGTGAGAGCCATGAAGGCACTAAAACAATGGGACTCACTGGAAGGTGTCTTGGACAAGAGTTCGCCACTCTTTTTAATCCCCCAATCTGCCAGAATTTTTCAGAATATCCAAACTTCAAATAATCTGGTTATTTTGTCTCCTTTCTTTTTTATCTCCATAAGTTGTCAAATTGGTTTAGAAATGCATTGTCCAATATAGTAGCCATTAGCCACACATGGCTATTGTGTACTTGAAATTGGACTGATCTAAATTGAGAGATGCTATAAGTGTAAATACAGACTAAATTTCAAAAATGTGATATGAAGGAAAGAATTTTAAATATCACTATAATATGAATTACATGTTATAAGGATAGCATTTGTTAATTAAAATATATTATTAAAGTTAATTTCCTCTCCTTTTACTTTTTTAATGTGGCTACTAGAAAAAATTTTAAATTTATCTCTACGGGACATCACTGGCCTAGACATCCCAGCATTTCAGAGTTCAAACACTGCTGCTTAGATTTGGAAAGGGTACAAAAATATTTTGTCCAACTGTGCGATTGGAGTTTTAGTTCGAGAAAGAGTAGCCACATGTCCTCACCGCTGTCATCTTGTCTTTACCCCACACTTCATAGAAAGCACCCCAGAGAGTGAGGCCATCAGAAATGTCATCATCACATCCACAGGCTTGCAATTCCCATCTACCACCCACTCCCTTCAGAACAGAATTCTCTTTTTGCTGTAATAAATACCAAAAAGCGGTTTGAACCATTGTAGCACTGGTTTCTAAAATTTAAATGAAATCACGACTGAGTGTAAGGACAGCCAGCTCAGTACCTGACAGAGAGAAGCTCAACAGAGGGTAAAAGTGAATCTTGACTCTCATTTGGATCTCCAGGTAGGGAAACATGATCAGAGCCTTGGCCTGCATTGCCTTTTCAAGACTGAGCAGCAGCCCTACCTGGTTTGGCTCAGTGGATAGAGCGTCAGCCTGTGGACTGAAGGGTCCCAGGTTCGATTCAGGTCAAGGGCATGTACCTTGGTTGTGGGCACATCCCCAGTGAGGGGTGTGCAGGAGGCAGCTGATCGATGTTTCTCTCTCATTGATGTTTCTAACTTGCTATCCCTCTCCCTTCCAAGACTGAACAGCAAAGGAACTGCTCAGCTCACCTTTGCCACTTTGTGCATTTACCAAGGAATTACACTGTCAAATTAGGACCCACATACTTGACTAATAATGTTGTAAAAGCTGGTCTTTGTGAAAAAGAACTTTTGAAAAACCTAGTTATGAAAAAAACAAAGATAATCGGAACTACACAGTGAAAGGGGTCTGTGCACATGTCCCAGAGAATAAAAAGGCCAAAAGCCCGTCGCAGCAGCATTGGGGCAGGGAATCATGGAGTACAAATCATGCCAGGCAACATGTGATTGCTTTTTTCTTTTCTTTTCTTTTTTTCTGACAGAAGAAAATTGGTGCTTCAAAGGAACACAAGCAGATGGGATATGTTCTTGAATTCTAGAGAAGCATTTGACAGATGTCAGTGAATTTGGTTCAGAGTGTTCACTGAAACTTGCTCAGGGAGAGGGCGGGGCGCACAGTCTGGCAGCATGAAGTGCAGCTGCAGGAGAGCTGAGCAGGCTGCGCAGGCCCTGGAGACAAAGGCCTCTGGGGGCTTGCTCATCTCCCGCTGTGTGTCCACTGGGGTGCCTGCCTAACCAAGACCTTCAACTCCTGATGTGTCTTAAACTAAAAACTAAGTCAGTACCTAGTTTAAACATAACATTTTTAAAACATGATTTCAGCAAGGAGTATTTGCCAACACAAAATAAGCCCAGATCCTTGACTTTACCTTTCAGTAGTGGGTTGCTAGCTGGCTTCACTCCTCTGCCAAGAATAAATAACACAAAAGCTCCTCTTTGCCCCCTCACTAGCTTCTAGACTTTCGGTCCCCACCATTAACTTGTATTTTACACAGCACATGCTCAAAAAATGCTTCTTCACTGCACTCTACCTCCTTATGTTAAAAAAAAAAAAATCCAGGGAAAGAAATTTGTAGATTTTCTATATTAAGAGCCAGAATTAATATACACTAGCTGAAAATTCACTGTATGAAATTTCAGTTCTCTTTTAGCCACATACTATAGTAAATGAGTTTCTGTATTTTTCCCCTGAACACATCTGAATCAGCTCTCTTGTTTTTTGGTCACTCCGCCAACCCCAGCCAAATTAATTCATATATTTTGTAGTCCATCAACTGCACCTAAAGTGCTGGCATGTGCCATGGGGCTGAGGGGGGAAAGGGGTGTTATGAAGTCTTCTGCTGGAAAACCAGACCTTTAACAAGGGAGGAAGACCAAGTTTGAGGAGGAAAGATGAGTTCTCATTTTCAGGTCTGAAGCTCAGGGTTGGTACTAGAGATATACTAGGGACAGTATCTGGATGCTCGTACAGTGGGGCCTTGACTTACGAGTTTAATTCATTTGGAGACCGAGTTCGTTAAGGAGCTCGTTAGGGAGCTCATTAACTCAAATTACTCTGTCAACTCAATGCAAAAAATCGGGCAGAGAGACAGCTGGTATCTCAAAAAACTCGTTAGTCGGGACACTCATAAGTCAAAGCCCCACTGTAACAACCATGAGGACGCGAGATGCAGTGTGGGCTACAGATTGGACTCAGGGCTAAGAAGTTCTGATCCGAGGATGGAGAGCCCAGAATCATGTGCCATGAGAGCCATCCTCACTGTGAATTCTGAGGAGAAGGTGGCCGGGAATGCAGCAAAGGGATGTGCTAAGAGGAAGGCAGCGAAGTGCCCCTAGAATGGCACTTCTGACTCTTACTGACATTGGGGAGAGCTGTTTCCAGGAACAATCAAGAAGCAGAAGCCAGAGGTTTAAACAGATTTTTTTAAAAAAACTATTAAGCACGTTACCCAATGCGACAATTATTTCTACTACTAGGGATGGTTAGGAGTTAATATATAAGAGCATCTTGCCAACGTCAGTTTTCTGGTTTTGATAATGCATGATAGTTATGTAAGACGTTATCACTGGAGGAAGCTGCCTCACTGGGGGAAGGGGCACAGGAACTCACTGTACTATTTTTGCAACTTCTTGTGAGTCTTAAAATATTCTGAAATAAAGAGTATTGTTTTAAAAGATATGGCAAGATGTTTCCAAAGGCTCGCCCTCCGTAAGCCCCGCCCTCCGCACACACACACACACACACACACACACACACACACACACACACACACGCCAGCTTCGGCGTTCTCACTGCTCACAGACCCAGACCCCCTCTCTCTTCTCAAAGGGCAGTGGCTGTCCCCTTCGCTCACCCTAAAGTATGGCTGGGTAGCGGGGAGTACTGCCAGGAGTCTACACGCATGGGGGGCACTACCCCCCAGCCTGGGACCTGCTGTTCTTCCCTGAAGTTGTGGGGTTTCCATCAGAGCCTGTGCTTCCCTTCCTTCCACATCGCACCGTCATGACCACTAACCAGGGATCTGCTTTCTGTCCCTTTCCCTTTCAGGATGCTTCCATTGCACACAGATTCCACGTGATGAGGGAGAAACACCCCGAAAAATTCAACAGCAGGTAAGAGGGCCCTTGGGCTGCAGCGCTGCCCGAGCCCCGCCCCGAGCGGAACCGCGGTCCAGTCCGAGGCCTCCACCTGCTCTCTCCGAGGTGTTCTTGGCCCGGCAGCCCAGGAACTTCACTTTCCTGCCACGTTGTCGGAAGGAGGGCTTCCATTTCCAAGCAGAACACAATGTCAGAGACCTGCGGCAGCCTAGCCTCCTGCCCCCTCCCAGAGGATGACGTGCAGAGGGAGGAATGGGGCGGGGTGGGGTGGGGGTGGGAGGGAGTGATGCGCTGGCCATGAGGAGTGGAGTCTGCGCTTGGCTAAGAGGAACCCTCCTGGGCCTCTGCCGGCCGCTTCAAAATGTGCCACCCTTACCCCCACCCCTAGCCTCCGCGATTCCTCTGGGGAGGGGGGCAAGTGGGGACGGGACAGGGGCCTCAGCTTCTCTCGGTCTCAAAGGCGAGGGGGTGGCAGCTCCCAGCGTTGGAGAGGGCGTCGCCTCCGCCTCCCCCGCCAGCAGAGGGCAGCAGAGAGAGGCCCTATAGAGGGCGGAACCGGCGCCCACCAGATCCCAGGACCCAGCCCCAGCCTTCGCACCCTGAGTTAGGGGTCCAAAAATGAAAAGAGAAAGGAAAAAATAAAAAAAGATCATTTGCAAATAAAACCAAACCCTCCTTGCTGGCGGGAGGGATTTCCAAGAAGTGAGTGATGACTGGCACATAGCTGTTCCTGGGATTGATAAATTACCTTTTTCCCTTCTTTCTTTTTTTCTTCACGTTAGTTAATTTCCATCTTTTCTCTTTCCTCTGTGTTGTACCATTTCAAGATGACCTCTGGGCCCCACTCTACCCTCAGACAGGTGGGGAAGGACTCACACTGAGCTTGATGGGCTGAGTTTACCCCTCAGGGTTCTCTTTAATGCAGTGGTCTGGTATTATCTGAAGACATTCCTTTAAAGCCCATTCCTGAAAAGCTCCATCATTTTCATTCCTACTCCTTCCCCCTGACCCCACAGTCTGGGAAGTTAGCCAGAAAGCAGAAAGTCTTTTTAGAGATCAGAAACTGAACATAAGAAGCTACTTCAGCATCAGGAAAATTAATCTGTGGCATTTAATAGTAGCTGAACTAATCTTCTTAGGGTGTGTATTCTGTCACAGGCATATTCCATGGCCTTCACATACACAGATCATGCACACTCACAAAACACTCTCAACAGGTATATGTTCAGCCCCTCTCCTGTTATAGGCACAGATTTACAGATCAGATGACTGTCTTC